CCCGCTCGGTGGGCAGCTGCCACAGCTGGTTGATGAGCAGCTGCGTGTTGTCCCGCGCCAGGCTCCGCAGCTCGGCCTCCAGGGTGGCTCCCGCGCACCGCAGGCCAGTCGGGGGGTTCCTGTCCGAGGCCAGCAAGTTGCCGATGTCGAACTCCAGGTCCAGTTCCTTGTGCACCGTGATACGCTGCAGCTTCTCCGCCTCGTCCCGCTCCGCCTTTGCCAGAAGCGCCTCCACGCTCGGATTCTCCATGGCTCCGGGGCGGCTCGGGAGGGATGGGGATGCGGATGCAGCTCAACTTAGTTCACCAGCGCCGACCCACGTGTAGCCTCCCAGACGCTCAGCCCGGAAGCGAAAGGTTCACTTCCGGAGCATCCGGAATTGGTTTCTTGATCTGTGGTGACCTTTCCGCCAGAGGCCGGCAGAGGGCGGTGTTGGAGAGTTTATGGCTTTCGGGGCAGGACCTTTCCGCTTGGACCCGGATGTAGGTGGAGTTGGAACTCTGAGTTTGGACTACACGTTGCCGTGCCCGCTTGGATCTAAGGCTCCCGGAACGCAGTGCTGGGCCAGTTACCTGGACCCCAGGTTAAGCTAAGGTCACTCGGGGGCGACTGTCTTATTAGCCCTTGGAGTCATGCTGACTCAGAGATCCGATGGGGCAGGGAAGAACTGAGTTTCCAAGACTGTAGCTCTTGATGGGAGTAGAAAGCCCCGTCTTTCTCCGAGGGAGGGGCTGGTTTCCAACCGTGAATTTGTGATTAACAGCCCCCTCCCACTCCCGGAGTAACCACCAGGTCACCAAACTCTTCTGTTTTACAAGTTTAATCCTCTATAAAGGGGCGTGGCGGTTACAAATTTGGCTCAACCCCTAACCTTGGCAGTTCTGAAACCACCATTGGCCCTACGGGAGAAACATAAAGCTTTCTACTCTATTAAAGATTTCCAGCCTGGGAAACGCACAGGAATAGTTCTACCTTGTCCCATAGGGTGGCTGTAAGTCCAAATGGACTCCACGACAGTGAATTAAGGATTTCTAGCCACCCAGCTGGTGTTGGGCCCCAACCCACTCATCGTGCCCTAGTGTGGACACATCGCACACATAAACATTAAGCTGAGCGCAGAAGAAGATTTGGTTCTATTTAGAAGGGAGCCGCTCTGGGAAGCAGATCGTGGAGCCTGTCCTGTTAACCACAAGGTCCCACCTGCCTCTCTGTGAAAGAAAGATGAGGCTGTCTGCTCCTATAAAGATTTCCAGCCTCAGCAACCATATATAGGGTTGCTATCAGTCGGAATGGGAGGAAGATGGGACTTTCTACTCACGTAGAGAGTTAGTCTCGGAAACCCGCAGGGCAGTTCTGCCCTGTTCTATAGACTGGCTAGGAGGAGGAATCCCCTAGATGGTAGTAGGTTTGGCTTGGTAGTAGTTAGTGTTGAGCTGCTAACACCAGGTCAGCTGTTCCAAACCACCAGCTGTTCTATGGGAGAAAGGTGAGGCTTTCTGCGCTTATAAAGAGTTAGTCTTTACTCCTATAAAGAGCTACAACCCTCAGGGGCACTTCGACCCTGCCCTATAGAGTCACCAAAAGTCAGAATTGAATGGATGGCAGTGAGTTTGTGTTGTTTATTTTGGGGTGGTGGTGGTGGGGGTGGTTGGGCAGAG